CTAGTCCGCGCGACCCGCGCGCATATAGCTACCGGGGGATCCCCGCGAGGGGCTCGGAAAGCTAGCGCCGTTACAGCTCGCGCAAGCTGTGAACAAACACATGTCGCTCCGTGTTCGTAACCTCGTCACGTTGCTTGCAGGGTTCGATGGTCCTGGCCGTGATGTGAGGAGCCAAGACCTGCGTGCTGCTCGGTTGTTGCGCCATCTTTCAAGCTCCCGCAAGCGCTTCTGCAAATGAGTTGCCCTTGTACTGCTTTGGCAGAACCGCCACCTCTGAGTCATGTATGCGCCTAGCGGCTGGGAGTGCCCTGGCCGCGCGCGGCGCCGCGGTCGCCTTGCCGAACCGTGGTTGATCGGTGATCCGCTCCGGTCTCACCGCTCTGGCAGTGTGCTCCAGACCAACTAGAGACGCGTTGCATCATGGAGTGCGCCACCGTATAAGTAACAAGACTGCCGCGCGTTAATCACAGCCGCCGATTGGATCAGATTGCATCTATTGAATCTATAATCATTTAACTTCGCTATGACCGGATCGCTCCGACGTTCTGGCGCTTTGCGAATGATAGCTCGACACCACGAATTACACCACATATCTGCTTTTTTACCAGCAAAGCAGTGCAGTTGTATTACGACTGTAAAGACATTGCGATCGTCGATTGAACTTAAAAAGCTAGCTAGCTCTTCTTGATCAGACTAGCTAGTATTATGAGCGATCCGGGCAGCGCCGCAATGGACCGTCGGATTACGTATTGCATGAGCACATGATGAAGGGATTATATTTGAGATTATATGTCCGGCCCCGGAACGAGAATATTGGAATAGGAATATCGGGATTTTTGGGCTCCAGGAATTGGAATATCGGGATTTTTTGGCCTAGGAATCGGAATATTTGGTTTTGAGATTTTTTTTTCACGGAATATGGAATACTGCAAAATCTGTGCAGGAATCCGGGTAATTTGAATTCCTAAATCTCAAAATTTTCTTGGAATCTGGAATATTGGGGTGGCAAGGAATTGGAATATTGCCCAAAATCCATCGAGGAATATGGAATATCCAAAGTCATATATTCTCGTTCCGGGGCCTGACATATGCAATGCATGATTATCGCTCTCATGAACCTGATTATGAGCTTTCGTCAAGAAGGACGTGATCGACTTCAGCTCGATCCGCAACGCCTCAGGTGCATGGTTGCACAAAATACATGATAGACCGCCCAGAAGGGCGGCGGGGGCTTGCCTCTCTGTGGTGCGACTGGGCAAAATTTTAAAAGGGCATTGTTTGGCGTTTTCATCTTGTACGTGGCTCTATCCATGGAAGTCTTGCGTGAGCGCGCGCACACCCTAGACTTAATCCGTACACCATCTTCTGGTACGCACCGTAGTTATCTCTACAGTGCGTACCAGGCTACTCGCTACTCTACCTTCCGGGCACTCTAATTTCTTCTGAAATTCCAAGGCAAGCAAAGCTGAAGGAGTCCATCGCAGACAAGGGTGTTTTGAATTTTGATTTCGACGTTCAGAGCCCGGGGTGCTTTCACAGTGTCAGGTGTTGGGCAGCGGTACAAATCAGGACGTGGCAGCTATTTTGACCTCGCCATGCAACGTGGCAGCTTTAGAGCAGGCAGGTTCGGAGAAATCGAGGCCAAACGTTACATCGTTACGGTTTTTTGCGGCGGCAACTTCGCGTCCGCGAACGATTCGTAGCATTACATCTGCGCAGCCGCGCGGGGCAGTCTAGGCTTGGACGTAAACATGGTCTGGACTATTAGGGGGATTCTGCGTACGTTTTCGTATCGAACAGCACGCATATTGAAATACCACCAGTCTGGACATGCTTATCTTCCGCAGAGCCACGTCGTACAGTGTCGCCCGACACGCGGTTACCCCGAATGCAATAGCTTGCTATTTTACTTCGTAAAAGAGAGGCAAGCCAATATGGTCACATGCATGCACCATTGAAAAGCTTCATGCAGGGATCGACTCGAAGAACAAGAGCGATTTGCAGTGACTCTGGCCGTTGGGCGCATGGACGAATCATTGAACTGATTTCTAATCAACAATGCCAATTAGTGACCACGGACCCATGAAATAGCGTTGCGTTATTTACCTGTGTATTCTCATTCTGACTGCAGAGCTTATGAGGCGCTCGGTTCATCTGAGCGCAAGCATGAACCGGTTAATGGTATAAGCACGTCCAATCAATGGTTCAAAAGTCGTATCAAAGCTGCTGAATATACTTGCGCTTGCACTAATGATCTTCGAGTGGCACAACTTGTATGGAAGAAGCTGACTGTAGACACCTTTCCTAAGATCTTCTCCCTGTATGTACATCTTATCCTGGAGGCTGAGTCCACTTCCGCGATTCTCGTACCTGAGGTTTCCTTGAGTTTGACTGATAATGATAAGAACACGCGTGCCAGATGATTGCGCTGACCTTCTCGCATTACTGTGCGCTTCGAAGGTGCCAAGTAGCCAATGCAAATGTTACGTTGAACACGCCGCTAGCTACCTGAATGTTGCTACGCTGACCTACCCTGAGTAGGGCTTTGAACCCTTGCCCGCTCAACCGATGAGGAGGGATCGCACGGTTTTCGCGATTTGTTGTCTCCGTTGCGGAGACGTTATTGGCTGCCCGGTCGAATCTTGTACCAGAAACCGGTGCACCTCCCAGTGCTTGTTATTTACAGCGTGGCGGGAGATGTCCGCCTGCACGGGGCGGCCACCTTTTTGAGTGTGCCTTCAAAAGCTTGTCACTCATCCGGAAAAGCCTGAAAAGGCTGCAGGTAAATCCACGGAGACCAGAATTCCAGACCTCCATTCTCCAAAAGAAAAGAAAGCGTCCTGCGCGTTTGCCTGCTGCAGGCCAAGCATGCACGGCTGAAAACAATGCAAGTCATAATCTTGGCTTACATAAAGACCACGGCTCGAAGCGACGTTTACCTGAAACAGGCATACGTTCGCCCGCTGCGGATCGTGCATGACATGAACTTACTTCCCTGTACGATCCGGCACCTGACCGGCACCATGACAAAGCATCCGGTTTGAATTCAACTCCGCTCATAGTTTGACAACGGCTCAACGACGTGCTTACCTGAAACAAGCAAATGTTCCCTTGCCGCAGACCGAGCGTGCGTCTGAGATAGATCCATTCACTGAGTTGCTCGTGATTAGACAAAGGATCGAAAGAGGTGCTCACCTGAAACACGCATGCGTTTGCCCGCCGCAGCCCGAGCGTGCAATCGTAGAACATGCGCGGGCGCGAGCGCCCGTTGACCTCCACCGGGGCCGCCACAAGCAACTCCGTGTCCGGGCCGCGCGGCGCGACCACCAGCCGGATCGGCCGCTCTAGTTCTTGCCTGCAGGAGCGTCGACGCAGTTGGGCACGGGAGTGATAGACGTGGCTAGTCGTGCTCATACTGGGGCTTGCGTCAACCCTGACAAAGGATGCTTTCAGAGGGCTGGTACGCCGAGTCCTCTTGTCCAACCGTTCCTTTGCAATGTTCGATAATGTCAAGAAATTAAGGCATCGGTACCAGGATGACGCAACCTCTGGTGAAAGTCAACTTCGGCAGACGTTCATCGGACTTCTCGAGTCCCCGGCAGAGCTCCTGGACAAAGCCCGCACCAAAGCCGCAACCCATCCTCGCAACAGGTCTTCTTTCCCAACCTTGAAGGAGCACTCTTCTACCCATCTTCCAGAAACTCCCACCGCAACCGCTATCCTTCCGAGGTTCTGACGACGCTCACCACAACCGCTATCCTATCAAATACACCCACCGCAACCGCTCTTATACCAAGCTTCAGAAACGCTCACCGCAACCGTCCGCACAGGTCGCGCTGCGCCTTGGGGTCGGTGACCTTGTGCCCGCTGGGGTGCCGGATGAAGAAGTCGATGTCGAGCAGCCCCGCCTCGCGCAGCGCGATGCGGCCGTACGCCACCTGGATGTTGACGTCCTTGAGCGTCCGCAAACAGTCGTACAGCAAGCCCTTGCGGTCCCGTGTTGACACCTGGCAAATGACATTGTTGCTCAGCGCTACCTAGGAAAGAAATACGCCAACATGGGCCGAAATTTTCAGGTAGCATACACATCGTTAGCAGAAGGTACTCGCCCACTGAATGTTGACGTCGTTGAGCGCAAGAGCGTGCGCAAACAGTCGTACAGGAAGCCCTTGCGGTCGCGCGTCGACACCTGGCAGGTAAAACCGTTTGTCAACGCTACCGAGGAGAGCGAATATGCCAACATAGGCCGATGGTTGAGGGTGGCATTCAGTTAGTTGCAGAAGGTCCCAGCCATCTGGATGTTGACGGCCTTTGAGCGTCTGCACACAGTCGTACACCCGGCAGATGAGACTCAGCGCAGCTTTGAGAGCAAGGCGGTGCCACAGTGACTTGAGAAAGGACGGCTTCTCCGATACTCGTTTTCGACGCCTTTGATCAAAGGCTTCCTCCCAAAAACCCTTCAGCGATTTCTTGCTTGAATTCAACACACACGAAACTCGGAGCAGAAGGTATACTAAAAACCGAGAGCAACTTCGCTCGCTCTTGCCAAACTCTTTGTCTAGATAACAAGACAGTTTGCAAGGAAGGAGGTTTGGTTGCGGCCCATCTCCTTACATATTGACCATTGCAGCGAAAGCACCAAATGCAAAACAATAAACGATAACTTACCTGCAGCGCGCTGTGTAGCCGACTCATCCCGTTATCGATCGACACTTCCGTCGCCTCAATTCCCTCGTCCTCCTCGAACGATGACGTCATCGGCCCCTCCGCCAGATGCGGCGCCAGCGCCCCCGGGAGGCACCCCTCGGGGGCCACGTGGGCCGACCCAATGCTCGCGGCGAACTCGGGCGCCGCGAGGGTGATGTCACAGGTGACGTCATCGCCTAGCGGGTCGCGTATGCACTGGAGGACGTCGAGCCGGCGCCGCTTCTTGGGGAGCTCGTTTCTGAAAGAGAAGGGAGCAAAAGATGTCCTCAGTGAAGAGAGCGTATTGTACCTCATGTCGTTCGGCCAGAGCCAAGAAGGTCGGCTTTGTGAATCGTTGAGAGTGTGCATTTAAATCGCTTTTCTGACGTTAGGCAAAGTTGGCGGAAGCCCCAACGAACAACTTTTCGCAAAGCCGGTGACCCACATGGGAATCATCACATTGGACGGCTTGAAGGATCGATTGCAAGGATCGTCACAGAAAACAGGCGACTGACTAGAACAGGCAGGTTCAAGGGGACACCACAAGATAACATAGGACTCGAGGCTGTGTTGACCAACAAAGAATTGGACCACCACTCGCGTATGCTTTTTAGGCTTGCTCTGGCAGGGAAAAATTTCTGCAAGGGCGTGCCGCACCTGTTGTCTGTGATGTAGAAGAGATCGACGGCGGAGTTGTCGGGGCTGGTGCAGATGTTGACCTTGTGTACCGTCAGCTCGTTTTCCCACAGCAGCTGGGTTACGTCTGCACAGGAGAATTATTGGGAGGGTTGACGAGAAGGTTTGAGCAGAGCTATATTGTAGAGGAAGACGCAAATGTTAACCTTGTGTGACGTCAGCTCGTTTTCCCACAAAAGCTGCGTCACCTGTGCACAGACCAGTTACCAAGAGGGTTAACAAATAGGTCAAAGCGGGGGTTGACAAGAGCTTCGCAACCGATCGACAGGCAGGGTCACTCCTGTATCGCCAGTCGAAGAAAGACAACAATATTGAACCTGTTGTTAGAGAGTGCAATCCGTGTTTGAGAAGGTCACCCGGAACATTCAGCAGGGTTGGACAGGACGTGCGGAACACAGATTGGATTGACCACCATCTAAAAGCGTCCATCCTCGCATAGACCAAGAGACATGTTTGACGACAGGCTTTACGGAACGACTCAAAACCTGTTGTCGAACACCGCACCAAGAGAAATCTACACAAAACCCAAAGCTGCAAACCTACCAATCGCAATTCTTCTGGGCGAGTACAAAGCCTCAGACCGCAAGTCAAGACTTTGGGCCCAAACACTTAAATGAGACTTGGCCAGACAGGTCAACTGAAGGAGTTTCGTTCCTCTCCAATGAACGTACCGTTTAGAAGACCCATTCGGTCTGCCGACCGCACTTGCAGCAGGAAGACGTCCTGCTTGGCCGGGGTGGGTATCCGCGGCGTGAGCGATATCTCGAGGGACGGGCACACGGCCGTCATGCGCTCCTTGAGCAGCGGCCAGGATACGGCATGCGTGCAGCGAGTTGTCTCCACCCAGAAGACCACATGGCACCATCGTCCATCCGTCAAAAAGTCTGCGGAGAAGCATCAGTTTAAGATCCCTGTAGATCAGACCCTGTCTGCAGAGATGGTCTTCGGTGCAACTGTGGGTTACTATGGTGAGTTGAGGTCGGGAGAATTGAGCAGGATTGGGAGAAACTTCACCTTGTATTTATCGAGATCACAGCTTATCACCACCAATGTCGAATGACTGTGCAAGCGTGTTCTGGGTCCAGGTCCCCTGATGAAATAGCAATCTATATCTGAGCATAAAATGTTACTGGTCGGAGTGCAACAAGCGGAAGGAAGTCGAAGACTGCATGGCTCCACGGCCTGTCCACCGGAAGTTTCCTTTGATATCCTGTAATCAGGAAGAGGCTGAGTATCTCCGACCACAATCCGAGTTGTGGAGCTTGTAACAATGATCCCACCTCCTTTCACAACGTTGAGCCCAAACTCGAGGACGACGCTGGCGAGGTCGCACCCAAGGCCCACTTTGTCGGTGCAGCTGACAGTCAGCTCTGTGAGTTCGTCTTCAGGCTCACCCACCCGGATCGTGACCACGTCCGAGTTGATGTCGCCCTCCATTGCGATTCTGCAAGAGAGGGGCATGCCATCGGTCTGGTCAATGCCTCTGTTAGCTTGTTAACCACCCACTAACCAGGGAGTTCATGGCCCAGGACATCTCCGGAGACTGTTGTACTAAGTGGATATTTGGATGGTTGTGGTGGTGTATCCGCCAGCATTTAGCATCAACAGAGGGATCCCCTGATTTTGGTGAGTATGTAGAAGAGAGACAGAAAAGCTGCCGGCTGGGTGAGGTGTGGGAAAAAGGAAGGGCGTGTTAGCAATCTGCCTTCGAGTCTGCACTGCATGGTGCCTTGGATCAGAACTACTTCATGAGTCAAGTGAACCACCTGATGACAGCTCCAGCGAGTAAGGATACTGAGAGACTGTTGGTTGCTACATGTTAGGCAATGCAATTCCATCGATCGACATACTCAGTGAGGTCTGTACAGCCGCACGTTGTTCTCTGTTTCCACCACTGGTTGCTACTATGAGAAACAAGCACTTTGGTCCAGCAAAGCAAGGAGCTTCTGTGCCACATCCAAGAAAATCCAGTAGGGGGCTTGCAAACACAAAGTATGTTGAAAATCCCACAAAGCGCTCTTGGAGTTGATCTCAGACGTCCAAGCGGCTCACACAAGACTCAATGTTTTGGACACCTGAAATGAAAAGGACATTGGACTTCCTCCTGATCTGATGGTGGGTCAGCATTGTAAGAACTGAAGAATAAAGATCTGTGAAATAATGGAGCTATCAAATGCGCTTGCTGATCTATTGACATGCCCAAGAAAAACCTCATCTGCCAGATGGCGGGATGAGGATCTCACCAAGAGCATTACTAAGAAACGCAAGCCCTCTGCTGCGCATGCAAGGGAAATCGATATCTTTTCCCAGAAGGTCGGGAGGGTCCGGAGGCATATGTATTGAGCACCATCCACTGCAATCGTCCAAAGTTGCTGAGCTGTCTGCAACGTGAGAATACAAACCGTGTGAAGGGACATTTTAACAACTTACTGGGAACGTGGCTTGCTGCAGGCAATCCCCTTTCGCAGCTAGCCCCGTATCGTGATGACTGCAGCCACTGCCTTATAAGAAAGGTTTTAGGACTTTTTGCCAAAAGCTAAGATCACAGGCCGGCTTAGAATTGGACCGTCGCTTTCATTAGAGAAACACCGCTCCTCTAACTAGAAGAATTGCCTGCACCTCAGAGCACTTCCGAGTATCTTGGCATGCCTCCCTAGCATAGATACAAAAGCTTCAATTAAGTACAGAGAAAAAACTTGCGGTAGCGCCTTGTCTAAGCGTTGAATGTCACCAAGATTAGTCTTGGTTTTGAAGCTTAATTGGGGAAGAACCTGAAGCCTGAAGCATACAAAAATTTGTGGGATCCCCCAGGTTCAGAGGGGACTTGCTTGTGCAGCGGCGGCCAGAATGCAATGATGTAAAATTTTGTTCACAGGGGGCGCCCAAAATGGTGCTTGTCAGACTTTTGCAGGTGCTGATATGAGATGGGTCAGTACATTCGGTGCGTACCTAGCAGCATCGGGCACAAACCTTCTTGCTCGGCAAGCTGTCGCACCGGAGACTCGGGCCCTAACTAGTATTGGAGGGGTACTTTCCTACGTCCTTCCTCATCGCACCTGGTTTCCGGCGCATTGAAACCCCAAGCATTCTGTACTCACGTCGCCGTAAACGCCGAACACCATCTTGCTGCCAATCTAGGGCTACGATCTGGTGCAAAGGCTGTCAGGGCTTATCGGACGGCTTGAAGCTACTGCTTGACGTGTCAGCCGTGCATTGAAGGAAGGAGGGAGGACAAAAGAAAAGCTGTGCAGCTTTGAAAATGCAAACTTCAAAGCTTAGAAGTTATTAGAACTTCAAATACGGTAGAAGTGCCAGTGCTTTTGAAATTTGAGGCATCCAATCCGTGCAGCTAGCAAGCAGAAGCGGGTGGCTAGAGGAGCTTCAGATGCGATTGTTCAAGGTGCAGCTGGAGTCCCAGATTGATAGAGATCGCAGCGAACACACATTGATACAGCTTTGAAGCTGATCCCCTTATTATTTAGCTGAGATTGTTCATTGTGCTGCGATCAAGCCGCTGTTGATCAAGATTGAGCTCTATTGCTTCCAGCCAGTGGCAAAACGTCTTTTGACGCGAAAAGCTAGGACCTAGATCAGTTCAAGTTTGTCCCTTGAGAATTAGGGTTTAAGAACTGCCATGGCGCCGAATGCTACTGAGCGGCGGCCCGCAGCCTCCGCGGCGCCAACTTCTTACAGCAACAGTCTGTCAGAGGCTGCGGGCAAAGGAAGATCTGACCATGAGCGGCATCAGATTGATCTCAAAAAGGTCCTCACGCTGGGGGTGTGTGTTGGTGGCATTTGGGCGTCCTACTTGACCCAAGGACTTTTGCAGGAGCAATTGTGAGTCAGGAGTAACCTGGTCTTATCAACCACCCTTTTACTCATTCTTTGCTTGAAGATTGCCGTCTATTTGGCCTACACTGGTAGCAATCTGACAAAAGCCAGAGAAGTTTTCATTAAACCAACAACAGGCATCTGTCAGTGGACGCTGCCTTTTGGTGATTGTGAAAACGTGAAGGGTTCGTCTCATTCCAAGCCAATTGATGGAAAAACTGATCTACTTTGAAAGTCCGACCACTTACAGGACACCGGATCTCTTTGACACCCTGTAGAGTATAGGACATGGTGGTGTCTCATAAGATAAAGTGGTATCTTCACGGGTCAGAATGCGCTTGGGAGTAAGGACTTCAGATAGAAGCAGTAACACAGGCTCCTGCATTGATTCATCATTCTCCAGCAGTTTTCACAGCGTTCTCTGCCCCTCTTCTGACCAGTCATACATCCGTGAGTCAGTTCATGAGTCACCGGTCTCTCTCAATTGGCCTCAGTACTTCCATTCTTCTTTTTCGAAATCAAGGCAGAATGAGACATTGCTACTGCTCTATGTCCTCCACTGATTTAGGATGTCCCCCAGTCCAATTTATAACAATCGCCTTCAGCCCCTCGCAACAGATGCATTTTGGTAATGTCCCCTTCTGCTACGACCTCTCACCTCAATCCTGACCTAAACGTCCCCTTTCCAGGTGCAGCACATCTCCAATTCTTGTAGAGATCACCTTCCTAGTCTTGTTTGTGTCGTCTCTTCTACACCAGTTCTGTGGATCTGATTGAGCAACATCGGAGTTTCTAGGCTCTTGCCCGTATCCATTTCCCATGCAACCCATATTCGAGGACTTTCAGATCCGTTGATCATCCGACACACCCATCCACAGTTCACCAGAGACTCCATAGGAAGTGTAACACCACAATCTCAAATTCTTCAGGTCCACGAAAAAGTTCGGACCCGACGGCCGGCGCTTCGAGCACCTCTCCTTCCTCAACCTCGCACAGAACGTGGTCTGCTTAGTCTGGGCCGTAGTCATGCTCCAGTTCAGCAGGGGAGGCGGTTCTCGGGGCAAAGGGCAGCGGTCCCCAATGACTGCATACTGGCTTGCAAGCATCAGCAATTCGTTCGGCCCCGCCTGCGGGATCCAGGCCCTGAAGTATATAAGCTACCCGGCGCAAGTGAGTTTGTAGCCTCTTCATGCTTGGATTAGGGAAAGTATGAGCTGGCGGTGAACGTCGTTTTTGGTGTCTTGAAAATAGGTATCGTAAGTTGCTATCGTTTGAGACGCACTTGATGTGTCATTGACCATGGAAGCGTGGAAGCGCGAGCGGACTCCGTGTGGTGGCAGCACGGGGTAGGTCGGGACTATTTCTGCATGACGTTTCTGATGCCTGATCGTTAGTGAAAGTCTGGGCTTTTTTTGAGGGATAATCTTTTTGGGAGCTCTTTGCAGGGTGCTCTACATCTTTGCAGAACAGAACCCTGGCTTGTAGAAGCTTTGCACTAAAGATGAGGCTCTCGAGCGGGCAATCAAATATGGAACGAGATTTTACCTGCCAGCAATTTCAGCAAGCAAACCTCGTTGGCCTCACGTTAGATCTGGACCAAGATCTTCGTTTCTTTTTATCAAGGTTTGCAGGATTTTGCCACACTAACAGGGCTCTGGTCCGAAAGGACTACTTCTGTCCTTTTATCTGGTTTCTTATGGAACGACCTTTTGCACTGAAGCCTTCATCCCTCAGAAGCCAAGCCTCTGGACGTATTGAAACGGTTGACCCTTTAGGTCTACCCCTCCCCCCCCCCCTAAGAACCTTCAACCCTCAGAAACGAGTTCTACTTTTCTCAATCGGAAGAACTTTGTACAGGTGTTGGCCAAGTCATCCAAGATGATCC